TTCTTTTATTATGTAAATAATTTTTGCATTGAAATTTGCATAGATTTTTGTTTGTAAATGGGCGATCAATTATAGTTCTTAGAAAGAAAATCGCAATCGGCAAAAATCGATATCGGCAGGTCACACTTCTGAAAAATCGGAAATTGGAATCGGCCAATAAAATTACAATTGGTGCATCTCTAGTTATGATTAATACTGTTTCCAGTTTATTATTGGAGAGGACGGGACATGCGGGCTGATCTATGAACACGCCCCCGCTGAGGGCCCTCCTATCGTGTCTCTGATCGACCATGTGGTGGAATACATGTAAGATTAACAGTGGAGAAGCTGTTTGCCCATGGCTAGATTGTAAGCATGGCTAACGCAGCTAAGAGTTACCTCATATTTGTACAGGAAGAAGTCAGAGATGGTCCGTACCCCAATGGTCCCGCTGCGTATGCCTCAGAAGCTTCGTTTCCACATCACGCCAGAGATCAAAAAGGACATTGAGGAGGCCAAACAAAACATGAACATGTAAGAAATTGAGATATTCCACTCACTCTTTGCATTACCAACATTTCAATTGACTGTTTTGTTGGACAAACAACATGGCAGTATGTTAAATGTTGAAAGTTTGAGGGTTTCTCTTCTCCTTCTCTGCAGCATGGTACATGACTTGGACATGAAAGTCAGTGTGTTTTCCCATTTTGGCAAAGATTTCCCAAAGTCACAGAAGATGAGCCCCGATGCCTTTATTCAGATGGCTCTCCAGTTGGCGTACTACAGGTAAACTTCACCAGCACTGCCATTAATGGTATTTGCTCTATTTATTTCTTAACTGTAGCATCCTTGTGTTGGTATTAGGAAGTTAATGATCAGTTTAGCTTTCAGTTGATTCACAGACTCATTGTTTCAGGATTTACAAGCGCTGTTGTCCTACCTATGAGAGCGCTTCCCTTCGCATGTTCAGACTGGGCCGAACCGACACTATACGCTCAACGACTATTGACTCTGATAAATTCGTCAAGGCCATGGATGACCCAGCCAAACATGTACGGTCACCTCTAGAAATTAATATTTTTATTTAGTCAGCATTAATTTGATCAAAAGTGACAGTAAAGACATTGTTAAAAAAATTATATTTAAAATGTTTTCTTTTGAACTTTTTATTCATCAAAGAATACTGAAAAACTGCATCAGGTTTCCACAAAAATATTAAGCAGCAAAACTGTTTCCAACATTGATAATAATAAGACGTGTCTTGAGCATCAAATCAGCATATTAGAATTATTTCTGAAGGATCACGTTATGCTGAAGACTGGAGTAATGGCTGCTGAAAATTCAGCTTTGCCATTACAGGAATACATTAAAAATGAAAATATATTGAAATAGAAAACGGTTCATTTAAATATTGATAATATTTCACAGTATTACTGTTTTTACTGTATTTTTTTATAAAATGGTGAGCATAAGAGACTTCTCTCAACCCCAAACGTTTGAACAGTAGTTTACATAATCACTGTAAATACTGCTTTGTAACTCGTCTTTTTGATTATCAATCTCAAAATCACCCTATTATTTTCCAAATGCATTTGTAAATTTGATCCAGCATGAAAGAAAATCTCATTTTGATCGACAGAACACAGAGAAAGTGGCTCTGCTAGACAAAGCAGTTAAAGCACACAGAGCTTACACAGACATGGTGAGTAAATGCATGCTAGTGATGTTCAGTTGATCACCATTGTGTTTCTGCTGCAAGTCATTATTGATCTGCACCAAATAAATTCCACATTCTTTATCCTATGTGTGGATGCGTAGGCCATCCGAGGTCAAGCCATCGACAGACATTTGCTCGGACTGAAATTGCAGGCTATTGAGGACCTGGCAGCCCTGCCAGAGATATTCATGGATACCTCATATGCTGTGGTACTGCACTTCAACCTCTCCACCAGCCAGGTACTGTCAAACAGAGCTCTCTGGACTAGGGTCAGAGGTCACAAGTGAAACTGAAGTGCATGTGTAACACAGTTCGTAGTCACGGGAAGAAGGATGCGGGAACCGGCGAACATTTAAAGAAAACTTTAATAAAATAAACAAACACAAAATGAAAGTAAAGCGGCGGCCCTTTGCGGACGACTGCCGCACACAAAACACAAAATAAACTCCAGGCCTGGTCCTCTCTCGTCTTTCACTGTCATCACTCCTCCTTTTATACTTCCGGAGCTCCTCCGTGGGACTCGAGACCGGTGAGTGGTGCAGGTGTCGCTCATTATCAATTACTCCACCGGCCTCGCTCCGTTCCCACGACTCTCGGCCCCGCCCCCACTCGTCACAGCATGTTAATAAACATTTATTTTCAAAACAAACCCTTTGCATTGTGTTTAACAGGAAGAGCAATGCATGTACCGTACCATTAACTGTACTCGTTTTTGGTAATGATAAGCCAACAATGGCTCTTCAAATCTGCTAAAATTATATTGCTGTAAAACTAAAATCATCAGATCATGTAAAATTCATGATTTTACATAAGATTGAATTGTACTTGTAATTTTTCCACTCTACTCTCCCAGGTGCCAGCTAAAACCAACTGTGTGATGTGCTTCGGCCCAGTGGTTCCAGACGGTTATGGTGTGTGCTACAATCCCATGGATACCCACATTAACTTTGCAGTCTCTGCTTTCAACAGCTGTCAGGACACAAACGCAGCACGTCTGGCCCAAGCACTAGAGGACGCTCTGTTAGACATCAAGACCCTCCTAGAACAGACGCCCAAAGCCAAGCTTTAAAGATGATTATGTCAGTTAGACTTGATCTTTGACCAGTTCAGTCAAGACATTTGAGTTTACAACAGCACTCAAAAGGACTGGAATTTTAAGAAGAGATTTTTATTTAGTATTTGACCAGACCAGTCTGGACTCTATTCGACCGCTGTCTTTAATGTGCCTTAACACTAAATGATCATTCTTAACTTTGTGCGTAATTATGTGTTTTGGCATTCAGTTTGTTCAAACAGACAAAAAAAAATAATCAATTAGGTTTGTCAACAGGTATTTCTGATTTGTGTTTTCTTTGTAATGAGTTCTCAGTACAGAAAATGTACCCGGTATGTGCTGTGAACCTGTGATTTAAAAAAAAAAATCTCATGTGACTCTTCATTGTAATCATACAAAAGTTTTTTTTTAATGCCATAATGTAAAAAGTGACATTTGCAAAGCATTGGTTTCATTCGTTCTTTGTTCAATGTTGTAAATTTGCACATTAACATGCTTTTAATAAATATGTCTTTTAAATTCTGTTTAGATTTGGCTGAGGTGATATTCATCTTAATTTGTTCTATGTATAACAATGCTTTTGCCATTTACTGTTGTCTTATTTGGGTCTGTCTAATGTTTTATATATATATATATATATATATATGTGTGTGTGTGTGTAATTTGTGTGTATATTGTGTAAAAACCACTGCACTCAACTATGGACTTGTTATAAATATAAGAAATTAGTAACATTTCTTATGGTCTGGATTTCAAAAAACATGAATTTTACAGCATCACTTATTGTTATATGCATCATTGATCAAGTAAATGAGATTAAACTTTATTGTTTCATTATTAATATATATATTCCATTTATTTTTACATTTTTGTCACGATCTCTCAAACTGCAATTCAATTACTGAATTCTAGGAGTCCCCAATTGATCCCCGATTATCTGTCACATGTGGGTTAAAGCTTGTGTGTGTGTGTGTGTGTGTGTGATGCTGTGTCATCGCGCTTACATGTGCTCATCATATCGCACAAGTACAGAATGTTTGTGCTCATCAACCCACTCACAGAAGCCACCGCTTTTAACTCAGCTGTGCAATACTCAAAAATTACAGTATGGAAAAAATTATAGACATTATTTATGATTATAACAATGGAGACTTTCTGTGTCCTAAAAGTGGGTTACAGAATCTTAATTTTTGCGTGAACTATCCCTTTAAATTCTTTAATTGAAGCCTTTTCCCCTTAATTTACTTAAATTACTCCATATCCTGTCAAAGAAATTCTACTAATATATATTTTGTTCATTTCCTGATAACACTAAGAATAATTTCACATTTACTCTCAATCCTATCAAATCTTATTGATGAAAGGACTGTAGCACTAAACATATGTAGTACAAAATCTGAACTCACTTCAAAACAAGACAATACACATGCAGGTATAGCTGTAAAGTAATGGGCAATTCTTTTTTTCTTTCTTTCTTACAAAAAAAGAAAAGATTAATTTTATTAAGGTGATTGGACTTTGTTATTTTGATATATATATATATAGATATATAGATATATATATATATATATATAGTGTTGCGTTTATAATTTTGTTCAGTGTATATATCAACAGTGCATCAGTGCTTTCAACAAGTGGAAAATAAAAACAGTTTATATACGTATATGTAATGAAAATAATCATGGCTTATTTTAATAATGTATTGTATTTTTATCAAGGACTATATGATTCGGTTCACTGTGGCCTAGGTGATTGTGTGCTACAAACATATACGTCTTTGTATACTATATATACTGTATGTATATATATATATATATATATATTACAGTGCAAATGGCATCTGTGGTTGGGTCCAATGTTTTGTCAAAGCTTGTGCTGTGTAATTTCCAGATCACATAAATAATTCTTCTGCTGTTTTTGTTGATTTTAAGTCTACATATGGTTTTCAACAGTAGTGAATTCATAGCTTGCTTTGATACATTTGAAACATTCATTAGGATTTAAAATCGCTACAGATTAGATAAATATGGAAGGCTGAGGTCTGAAAGCTGTAAAACATTAAATGGGTAATCGTGATATAAAGTTTAAAACAATAAAGTCGCTTATATGCATTGAATTGAAAGTGATTTACATTTAGTGCTATAAAGATGTAAAGCTTTATAGCACTAAAGCTATAGAGTGTGTTTGCATTCCTATAGGGCAAAGTTGGCCTCTCTCTTTGGTCTGGACCGAGCAGAGAGTCAGAGAAACGAGTCCTTCCAATTCACTGCCCCTAAATGGCCAAAGAAGTCCTGCGCCATATTAGGTGCACAGCTAGAGGTATTAGGTATTTCATGTTCTGGTCATTTTGAACCCAAAGGCACATAATTGCTCATGTTTCAATCAGTGTTTTTCTTAAGGTCTGCCTCCTCAGAAGCCTGTCCCTCCTCCATGTGCTCCAGCTGTGCTGTTTGCTACAGCTGTTCATGCATTCAGCTTGTTAGTATAAATATGGCAATTAAAAGATATTTACGAGACTTTGAATTAGCATTAGTTCGCAGGAGAATTCATCCCGTGTTACATGTCTCCAAATTGAAGCCCGTTTTTCATTCACCCATTAATCTGCCTGCCCCGGGGGCATGGATTCCTGCATGATCCCTGCACAGAAAGCAGCATTAGTTCGCACATTTCTTAAATGAGCTTTGATTTTCCACCAGTGTGAATGGACAATATGTGAAGCAAGGCAAGATGGCTGCTGTTTTAGGAAACCATGTCACCAAAGAGGTGAGAGAAGCTAATTAACAGAAGCTTATGCACATATTTTAGGTAATCCTTTTTTTTAATGTATTTTAGTCATTCTTTTCTATCTGCAATTACAGTACAAGATTCTGTTGTACGGCAGTAAGCAAAAGCAGATCACTAAAGCTAGAATCCATCGTGGATTTTTCCATTTTTCCTCATTCTATTCTATTCTGTTGTGTTTTGTTTTGTTAGATGCTGCACTCATCAGCTCTTTACACCTGTCCACAGGTTCAGCCCTGTAACTATGTCTTTAATGTTTGACTCAGAAAAGTCATGGCCTGAGTTCTGTAAGGAGGTAAACTGAATTGTTTGTTTAAGCAAGATTGATGCATTCTAAGAAAATTCTGGTTTTGGAAGAAATTATTCTGTTTCTCAAAGTGTGCCTCTTATTTACTCCAAAGCTCTAGGGTTCTGCAAAATTGTTATAATGCAAACATTTTTAAATTTTACAGATTGACTGTGTATTTGGTAAAATTACCTCTGAGCCTGTTTCTCTCAGGTGTCCGTGGCCCAGTGGAACAGTGAGGCTTCATCAGACTCTCTGGTCACTCAGGACCTGGTCCTAGGAGAAGGTCAAGCTGTTGATGTTGGGGACACAGTGGAGGTGGCCTATTCTGGATGGCTTTTACACAAACATTCTCTAGGACAGGTGATTATTTTTCAACTTTGTGATTGGTATTTTGGTATTGAACAGACAAATTACATTGTATCAAAATATAAAGATGAAATAAATGTTAAAATATTTATAGCATCTTTTAATTCTAGAGAAGTTTCTGGAATCATTTACAATACTTCAATACTTTTCCTAAATGTACAGATTGTGTTTTTTTTTTTTTTACTTCTTAAATTGTAGTTGAGTACATGTAGCACACAGAAGCTCACTGTGCACATTCCTGTTGATTAGTCACAGCTCAATGCAAGTCACTGGCAATTTAAATGAGTCTTCTGGCATGTTTGCTGTGCAGCTGGAGATCTATAAATGTGAAAGTTCAGTGTCTCTGTTTGTTTTTTCAGGTATTTGATTCCAATCTGGGCAAAGAAAAGCTGCAGCGAGTAAAGCTTGGAGCAGGCAAAGCTCTGAGGGTGAGCAGCTCTTGATCATATGATCGTGACCACAATGATGATTAAAATTAATATTAAAGAAAAGTATAGCCAAAAAAAATGTTGGTTCTGCCAGCTGTTGTGCCATCAAGGTCTTATGTTGCCTTTCTTACAGGGATGGGATGCTTGGTATGCAGAAAGGAGGTCAACGGCTCCTTATCGTCCCTCCTAGTATGGGTTATGGGTCAAAGGGCATCCTTAAGAATGTGCCAACAAACAGCACTCTGGTCTTTGATGTTGAGATTCATAGAGTAAGTCACTGACAGCGTGAATATAATTTAATATACCTGAAAACATCTCTAATCTCTCTCTAACTTGTTTTTAATGTGTATATTAACCTACATGTAGGTTAAATTCTCCAAAGACAGACATAGCCGGGGATCAGTTGACCCCTTCAGTACATCTCCAAACACCTGTTCAGACACTCAGAGTGAAGAGAACAGCAGCCAGTTGGTCAGAGATACAGATGTGTGTACAGACAGGTTAACCTTTGCAATTGTTGATATTTTTTACTTTACAGTTTATTCCATCTTCAAAAAATATAATGTAATCTTAAGTATTTTTGTCTTATTTCTCATTGTGAAAAAATCAGTGCATCCATAAAACTAATTGAATTGTGAGTTGTTGTTTTTTCAGGAAAAAAAAAACTATTAAAACTAAACTATATATACATTTACATTTAGTCATTTAGCAGATGCTTTTATCCAAGGCAACTTACAAATGAGGACAATGGAAGCAATCAAAATCAACAAAAGAGCAATGATATACAAGTGCTATAACAAGTCTCAGTTAGCGTAACGCAGTACACGTAGCAAGTTTAAAAAAAAGAATATAATAAATAAAAAGAAAACAGATAGAATAGAGCAAGCTAGTGTTGGAGGTCTTTTTTGCTTTTGTTAATTGTATAATAAATGAAAAGAAAACAGATAGAATACAAAAAGATTAGAAAGCAAGTGTGTATATCTATCTATCTATCGTAAAACACTAGAAAACGACAAATGCATTTTTTAATGCATTATACATATGGAAAGGTCAACGTATAAAGATTTTGTTATCCGGGTGTTTTCATTAAGTGACTTAAAGACTCACATTCGTAAACTGATTCTTATGAATTTATACAAGTTATTGATCATTTGTATTCAGAGACCAAGCTCCTAAGGGGAAAGTAAATCTGAATGCCTGACGTGAGTAATATTTTCCTTAACATTTAGACCAATGGCATGTGCCTGAAGTGGCTAAAATGCTGAAGCTTCAGCTATATTTGTTCTTTCTTGTAGACTTCAGATGCTTCCAAAGCCAAACTGATCTCACGTATAGCCAAGATGGGTCAACCTATGCTTCCCTTTCTCGCTGGGGCCATTCCAGCTCAGCCTGACCCCAGCGACTCAGAAACAGAGGTCAGGAAGATTGGAAAGGTTGCTTACATTACATATACTGTATATGATCGTAATGCTATTTAAATCTCAGATTTGTTTCCTGAATGGCCTGTGAAGTAAAAGTGCAACTATAAACCCCATTATGTCTCTCAGTGGAATGATTTGTGATCCCTCTCCTTCATACCCCCCCTCCCCAAAACCTGCACAAATGCCCTGCAGTTCTCTATCCTGTATGTTTAAAACAATCACAAATAATCACCTGCTCAATATTAGTTAACTCTTCCTAATATTAGAGCTGACCGGATCTTTGTTCTCACGTCCTGGTCTTTGTGGTAGCGTTGTATCAGCCTGATGATGCTCAGAAACCGGAAGCAGTGCCACCACAAGCAGACTCAAACACTACTCAAGGCTCTCAGGTGAGTAGTGTTTGACATTGGAACAAAAAATTATATTTCAAATAAATGCTGTTCTTTTGAACTTTCTATTCATCAAAAAAATCCTGAAAAAATGTATCATGGTTTCCAGAAAATTGATAATAAGACTTTTTTTTCTTGAGCACCAAATCAGCATATTAGAATGATTTCTGAAGCGTCATGTGACACTGAAGACTAATGACTAGAGTAATGACTGCTGAAAATTCAGCTTTGCATAATCAGAATAAATGTCATTTTAAAATATACTAAAAGAGAAAACAGTATTGCAATAATACTAAAAAAAAATTTTTTTTTTCAATCAACAGCCATATTTCTTCAGACAAAATCCAAATTTTCCAACACAGCTGGACTCGTTTACCTCAATCTACCCATCTTAGCAAATTCCATATCAAAGTAAGATCTGAGCCTGTTACTTCTGTACAATACTTGCTGAAATGTGTCATTTTATTTTAATGATCAATGCATGCTGTCACTAAATGTTTTTCACTAAATGCAAACATTTTGTATTCAATAGCACCTGATATCGCATCATTCTTGACGCTCAACAACATAATGCAGAAATTCTGCTGGCTATTGAAAAGGTGGCACACAGGATGGACCAACTGACCTGCAAGGTATATTCGTGCAGTAAGGTTCTTTTCTTATGAGATTTGAACGGAGATTTGATTTATTGTTTTCAGGTGCATGAGTTGCAAAAAGAGGGTCACTTCTCTTTCAGACTCTCCTCTGTGTCCTTAGAGACAAACATGATCCTACACAACATTCAGAGAACCAGTCAGATTTGGATTCAAGGATAAGGATCATTTTTGTTATGTTTAAATGCAAATAAATTGCATTTTCAATGGCATTTGTGTTTTAGGAGAGTATGTGTCTGAAAAAGGAGGTTCTGGAGAAGCTCAAAAGAAGCTCAAAATAGGGGAGCTGAGTGAACCGAAAAAGAGGTGTGCCCTACCCCTTTCTTCACACTCCAATTTCCTACTTTCCAGTCAGATTAAAGGCAAAAAAGCCCTTTAAAAAACAGGAAACCCATACATTGACACACAACAAATTGGTTTACGTATATGGAGCAGCAACACAATCAGACTTGCCGCCTTCAGACTGAACAGGAAAAGGTACAACAGACACGTGGACTTGCTAAATTATGCTCTGTTGGTTTATTGGCTCAGTATATTATATATTTATTTATTTTATATTTAATAGGTTGTCGTGTTTCCATTTTGATCTTATTGTAGATGTGTCCTGGTGAATGGTGTGGTTAGGAAAATGTCTTAAACATCTCTTTTCTCTCACCTTCAGGTTCATTTATCTGGGGCATTGGCTTATCAGCTGCAGCAGGATGTGCTGAATCTCCAGCAGAGGGTGACAGAGATTCAGGCTGAACTCAGGCAAACACAATCACTGTGCTCAGATCAGCCTTCTGGAGGCACAGGTGGAGAGGGATCCCAACGTTTCATTCAAGTTTGAACTCTACTTAACATCTGTGGTACTTTTTAACCGTAAAAGTGGCGCAGCTGTGTGGTTTTGATTGGGACAAAAATCCTAAACTAGCACATTAAAATAAGATTTTTCTAAAGCAGTGGTTCTTAACCTTTTTGACTCCAAGTCTCCCATTTTTCACAACAATATTCAAAGGCCCCATGACTTTTCCAGTTGTTCATGAATAAGAATTATGGAACAAGTCATCATTGTTGATGACCCCTGGTCTAGATAATGTGTGTTTTTAGAACTTGTGAAGCAAGGAGAACAGTCTGAGCAGCGGTGGAGGGCAGAGAAGCAGAAGTGCAAAGAGATGGAAGCCATTATACAAAACATGGATGAGGAGATGCAAGATCTGAGGGCTGAAAAGGAGAATCTGGATCAGGTGTGTATGATATGAGTGTATACAAAAGGCTTTAACTGGTTTGATTAATACTTCAATAAGTGTATTCAAGCATCATGCTGTTTTCTCTGTCAGATCCTGTCAGACAGGAAGAGGAAGTGGCAGGTACAGCGGGAGCGCTTTTTATTGGCGCAGGAGGAACAGCATCAGAGAAGTCAGCAGGAGATCCTACATCTCTTTATCAAGCTCAAAAAAGCCAGATACTCCACTGAACCACTCATGAAGCAGGTATATTAACTTTTTATAGGGATACTCCACCAAAAAATGAAATTGCTATCATCATTTATTCCCCCTTATGTTGTCAGATGTGTATGACTTACTTTCTTCAAATGAACACAAACAAAGATTTTTGAAAAAATAATCAATCTTTGTGAGTCCAGTTGGCTGGAATGTTTGCAGGTTTAAAAAAAAGTTGAAGTTGAAGACACTGATTCAACAACTGGGGTCGTATGGATTACCATCATGTTCATTTCCCATGTTTTTTGAAGCGTCAAGAAAATCATATACATACGTACATCTAGGATGGCATGAGGGTGAGTAAATGAGAGCATTTTAATTTTGGGGTGGAGAATCCCTTTAATCTTCTATTTACCTTTTATTTTATATATTTTAAAATGAGAATCTAAATAAGACATCACAAAATAACAAAAAGCAGTTTGAGACAGTTGAGGGTTAAAAAGCTCTTATTTTTCTATAGTAAAGTCTAAACCTGAAACTGAGCTGGTGTTTCTGGTGCAGGTGAAACGAGTGATGAATGGAGTGTTTCAGTCTCTCAGGACAGAGTTTGACTCGCAGGAATCTTACAGCGGACACACAGTGCTCGAGATTCTCCAAAACACCATCAAGGTACTGTCCAACCAATCAGGTCGAGGTTTGATGACCATGTAGATAATGATTTCTGGTCTTGCTGATGTCTGCTTTTCCTTTGCAGAATATCACCATGAAACTTCTCTCAGAACCTTGGGAGCTTGAATCAGACGTAGATGAAGATAAAGCAGAGGAAGAGTACTTGTCTACTGAAGAGTGTTTGCAAATGGAAAACATGCAGAAGGAAAACAATGAAATCGAGGGAAAAGGCCAACATTAAAAAAGAATTATTTATGTTAACAGAACAATCGGTAGATCAGAACACCTGCATATTGCAGTCTGTTCAACCATAGGCATTGGTTCACATATTGAGATCCTAAAGGTGAATTGGTACTGTCCAATCACAGCTAAGGAGGCTAAATAATGTCCAATCAATGGGCAGCTGAGCCTTTCCCAATGATACAAAGCAGGCAGTTCTTCAGTCATTCAACTGGAAGAACTCTGATCCATAACAATGGCGTCCTCCTGACTGCATATGACTAACAAGGTTGCAAGTCAAGTAAAGTTAACTAGATACACATAAATGTATTATTTGCTTGAGTCTGTTTGAACATTTTTCTTTCAGAACATTATCTAATTTAGTATTTGGGTTTTATTTATAATTATAAAATATAGGGGTGCGCCGATCCGATATTCAGGATCGGTATCGCTCCAATACTGGCATTTTCTGCTTGATCGGGGTATCGGTCAGACGAGACCGATCCAAATCCGATATAGTGCGTATACTATTCTGTGGTTTTTTAAGCCTCCCGAAAGGCACAAAAACATTATAAAGCACCATAAAGTTTCCGTGCACTATATTTCAAGTGTTCTGAGACCGTTCCATAGTTTAATGTGAGGTACAGATGAGTATTTAAGTCATTAAAGGGGTCATATGATGTTGCTAAAAAGAACATTATTTTGTGTATTTAGTGTAATGAAATGTTTATGCAGTTTAAGGGTTAAAAAAAACACATTATTTTCCACATACTGTACATTATTGTTTCTCCTCTATGCCCCGCCTTTCTGAAACGCGTACATTTTTACAAAGCTCATCGGTCTGAAAGCGAGGTGTTGCGCTGATTGGCCAGCTAGTTAGTGCGTTGTGATTGGCCGAATACCTCAAGCGTGTGACGGAAATGTTACGCCCCTTACCACATTGTGATGATGCCCTGTCAGGCCGGAGCGACGACACAAAAACATTAAAACCCATTATAAACAAGGCATTTGTTGCATCCAGTGGGGACATAATTACGAATTATAAAGTTTACTGTCTTTTTACGCATTGCATCGTGCCACGTAAACATAAAACCATGTCTGCATTTGTGATCGGAGAAATTACAAACAACAAGTGCTACTCTACACTGCTCAAAACTGGCGTTTGAATCATCAGTGGCAAATTCTTTAAATATAAAAAAACGTACTTACAGTCTGTGAGTCAGAACAGCCGGCATTGTAGTCTACTCTACCAGGATCAGGAAACAGTCCTCCATAAAATGCGCTGCACACATCTGAATATTTGGGTTAAACTGTTCTGGAACAGTGTTGTAAATACAACTTAACCACTGATTTCTAGTCGTGTCCTCTTTTGGAAGACCAAACAAAGTAGTTTCGCTTTCACAACAAAACACCAGCGCCTTCACGACATGGCGGCAGCGGCAACAATACTACAGCGAGAATAAAAGTTACGCCGCCTTTCTTTGCGTGAACATTTGGGCGGCGTTATGCAAATCTTCCCACATCGGGACGTAGGTACTGTATGTGGGGGCGTGTTAGAACGATGCGTTTTAGGTAGGCGTGGTTGACTCTTTTATAAAGAATATTTCTTTGGATTTGAGACTTTAGTGTTTGCAACTTTACAGATCTTCTTTATGCACCAAGAGATTGTAACACTCCAAAGAGAAAGGAAAAATTTAAATCTCATCATATGACCCCTTTAAATTCAAGTTCACGTAAACCCTTCTCTCCGCTGCGGCTGTCAGTCATCCTCCATTCAGCATTCAAGCTGCGCGCCGCGTTCAGTTACGACAGTCAAGACGACGAAACTCTCTCCAGAATGATACAATGTTCCTATTATTATACTTGATCTGTAGATAAACATCAGTGGTTTTGCATAAAATGACTTTATCTTGCTGGAGTTTATAGCTAATTCTAAATCATGTTACTTTCTACCGGGTGTCTGTTAGAGATCACAACACTGGCATACAGAGCACTATGAATTGTTCTTCACGTGCACAGTAACTGAAATTTAAAACTGTTAAAAGAAAAGGCTCAATAAACTAACAATAGGGACACCACCGGGCATCTGAAGTTACGTCCTATTTTAACCTGGGCTATCAAGCACACACTTTTTAAGTTGCCAGTGTTTAAACTCATAACTTTCGTTTTATCATGCCCGCATTTTCTCCACCAATCTGTAGCGAATTTAGCTCATGGGGAAATATGAATAATTAACCATAACTAGTTATAATTAACTATTCATATTTTAGATCCACTGTAGATATTTAGCTGACCACTCAGGGTCAACCGTCTTGTCAATTCTAAGAACGTTAATTTCCTGGTTAAAGGAAATAACTTTCTTACTGTACAATTCTATAAGTTTGTAACGTAAATCTGCATGATTATTGACTCCGGTTATGAGTAAACAATGAACACGTCAAGTGTGATACAAGTAAGGTTTTATTAACTACATAAACACTTAAACTAGTCTAACATACTACATAAACACATTAAGCCGGTCTAACATACACATACACACACACACACATACAGTTGGTATAGGAAAGGGTTAAAGTTTAGCACTAAAGAAAGAGACATAAGGAATGACATTTATGGAACCATTTTTGCATATTCAGCAGATCTAAAACCTGAGGGAAAACGTCAGATTCTTAGTTCAACAAACCTTGTAAAAAGGTGTAACTGATACTTAATGCATCAATTAAATCGACTAAGTTTGATACTTGCGTATGTCTGAAAAAGATTCCTGATGCAATCTTAAGGCCCCAAGATCTTGCTGAAGTTGGTTGATGAGAAAGAGCTAGTTTGAGTCAGAATCACTTGATGAATGAAAAGGACTAGGCCGGAGCCTGGCACGAGCTTTGGTATCCTGGAGCGTTTCTCACATCTTCATCTTAGCATCTCACTGAACCACCGAACAGGGGCGGGTCACATGGAGTGTGGCCTTTTAAAGCCTGCAGAGATTCACGCCTCTCAAGATGGGTTCGTCCAATGAGGAAGGCTGAAATCCCAAGCGGGAGGTTGGAAATACTGAGGATTTTTATGAGTCTTTGTCTGTAAGCATGGTATTTTGCATATGTAATTCGCTGGAGTGTTGAGGCACAAATTAGTACCGATTCTTAGAACATCAATATGTTGCATAGGTATCAGCATATAATATACACACTTGTTTCGATCATAAGAAGGCGAATTCATAGATACTAGACATGAAATAGTTACTTATATGAATGTGTGGTTTATCGTAAGCACGGATAAAAATAGTCTATAATACAACAGATCAGATTAAATACAACACAGCAATAATATACACACTGGCCTGAAGAAAATGGGTGTTCATTCAAAGAAGGTTTTCCTATGAATTAATTAGTAGAACAGTCCATTTCTCCTGTGCATTTGTACCCCTTGTTTCTGGAGAAAGCAGAATGAGAGCCGGCTCGCATTCCACAAGGTTGTAAATGTATCGGGTTACCATGAAACCAGGGTCTTGTTCGGCGTCCTGGGGTGTTACAAAGTATTTGTGAAATCTAGCTAACAAAATATATATTGTGTGTTGGAGTGTTCCAGACGCTACATTAACTTGTGCAATATAAAATTTGAACTCTGCTAAAATACGGCAAATGGTTTGGATTGGAAACATCCATTATATTTGCAGTTAGGGGTCAACCGATATGTGTTTTTCAGGGCCGATGCCGATACCGATTATTACAGACCAAGTAGACTGATAACCGATATTTTGAACCAATATATATGTCTGGTGTAAAACTTAAAATTAATGTCAAAATTAAGAATAACAAGGGCTCTGACAAAAACTGCCTTCACTGGGGTTGGTTGTATAGTACTCCCACACTGCACTTCTTACTAGGGGTGCGCCGATCCGATATTCAGGATCGGTATCGCTCCAATACTGGCATTTTCTGCTTGATCGGGGTATCGGTCAGACGAGACCGATCCAAATCCGATATAGTGCGTATACTATTCTGTGGTTTTTTAAGCCTCCCGAAAGGCACAAAAACATTATAAAGCACCATAAAGTTTCCGTGCACTATATTTCAAGTGTTCTGAGACCGTTCCATAGTTTAATGTGAGGTACAGATGAGTATTTAAGTCATTAAAGGGGTCATATGATGTTGCTAAAAAGAACATTATTTTGTGTATTTAGTGTAATGAAATGTTTATGCAGTTTAAGGGTTAAAAAAAACACATTATTTTCCACATACTGTACATTATTGTTTCTCCTCTATGCCCCGCCTTTCTGAAACGCGTACATTTTTACAAAGCTCATCGGTCTGAAAGCGAGGTGTTGCGCTGATTGGCCAGCTAGTTAGTGCGTTGTGATTGGCCGAATACCTCAAGCGTGTGACGGAAATGTTACGCCCCTTACCACATTGTGATGATGCCCTGTCAGGCCGGAGCGACGACACAAAAACATTAAAACCCATTATAAACAAGGCATTTGTTGCATCCAGTGGGGACATAATTACGAATTATAAAGTTTACTGTCTTTTTACGCATTGCATCGTGCCACGTAAACATAAAACCATGTCTGCATTTGTGATCGGAGAAATTACAAACAACAAGTGCTACTCTACACTGCTCAAAACTGGCGTTTGAATCATCAGTGGCAAATTCTTTAAATATAAAAAAACGTACTTACAGTCTGTGAGTCAGAACAGCCGGCATTGTAGTCTACTCTACCACATGAAAACCCATTACAAACGAGGCATTTGTTGCATCCAATGGGGAAATAATTACGGATTATAATGACTTATACTGTCTTCTTAGGCGTTGAGTTGCATTGCGCCGCGTAAACATAAAACCATGTCTGCATTTGTGATCGGAGAAATTACGAACAAGTGCTACTCTACACTGCTCAAAACTCGAGTTTGAATCATCAGTGGCAAATCCTTTAAATGAAAACGTACTTACAGGCTGTGAGTCAGAACAGCCGGCATT